CACTGCCCACCCCATCCCTGCTCCCCAGGGAGAAGAGGAGGGATTTGGGGGGGCAGCCTGGGTCCAGCTCTGGCGGCTGGGCCCCGGGGAGGCCACGCGAGTTGGGCACCAGCCCGGCACGCGCCGCCCGGCTCCGGAGGGGTTTTGAACGGGCAGATCCTCGTCTGAAAAGCAAAAAACTCTCCTGCCTGCACGGCTGCCAGCCCCGTGGCTTTCGGAGGGATGTAAAGGAAGGTCTAAATTCAGGGGAGCGTGGACCAGCCCCTGGGAGCCACGGAAATACGCTCAGCCGTGGGCTTGGGGTGCTGCCTGTGGCGCTGGGGGTGAGGGCAGGGGTGCTGCCTGCGCCGGCATCCTGAGCCGTGTCCGGGCCAGGCGGTGGTGGGGATGGTGGAGATCTCCTGTCCTTGCCGAGCTGGGATGCTGCAGTTGTCATGGCAACGCGGGAGGCTTGCTGAGCCGGAGCCCCGCAGCTCAGGTGTGTGTGTGGTGGTGGGGGGGGGGGGGGGGGGGGGGGGGAGTGCAGGGCTGGGTGTGCTTCCCCACCACCTCCCCCGGGGCCCTGGCACCTCACCGCACCCCAAAATCACAGTCAGCCCGCCTCCTCCCAAAGCTGACAAACCCACCCGTTTTTCAGCAAAAAAAAAAGACCATGATGAAAACTACAGCGTTTGCCACAGGAAGAAAACACCTGCAGGTGAAAAAAAGCATCCAAACCCACCGCAGGGAGCAGGCAGCCGCGGGAGGGATGCCGGCAGCCTCCTGCTTTCCTCTGCCCCGTGCCGAAATCCTCGCAGCCAGCTGATGAGGCTGGGGTAAAGGCAGTCGGCACCCGGCAGAGTTTGGCCCAGAGCCGTTCCCTGCGGGATGCTCACGGGGCTGTTCCCCCCCCCGAGCACGGACCTGTGTGGGCTGTGGGCTGGGAAGGGATGGGGACGGGTGCGGGTGGTGGCGTAGCCAGCTCTGCTCTCCCTGTGTCTGAAGGTGCCTGGATCTGTCACACAAGGTCACCTCTCCCTCCTGCCACAAGCCGTGGCCCTGCTCAACCACCTCACGTGGCGCAGGGCTGGACTTTTCCCCACCTCAGGGCAGCTTTTTTCTGCCTGGCTCCGGCAGCTTGTCCCTGCAGGGTTTGAACTGACATCTGTCCGTCAGCTCCCCGGCGGCTGGGGACGCAGAGAGCAGAGGGGCCCTGCGGAAAGGACGGGCAGGGGATGAGCCTCAGCTGCGTCCCCCCCGTGGGCGGCCCCACAGCCACGGGAAAGGGCATCGGGGTCCGTCCTCCCGCAGACCCCGCTCCCGGCCGCGGCTCGCTTTGCGCGGCGGCCTCGAGCTCGGCCGATTTTGCTGGGTAGCACATGAGTCACATTTCCTTCCAACGCCCATCTCAGCTCGGTGCCGTCGCTATTTTTGGAAACTCTTGAAAGCGGATCAGCCCTAAGCAGCACATCGCACGAATGCTCCCGCCATGCCGGGCTCGCGGCCGCCCGACGTCTCCGTGCGTCGGCCACCGGCAGCCCAGACCCTGCGTGGGGACACCTGCACAGCCTCACCCCGCAGCCCCTCCTCAATCATCCGGGAGCCGAAGCTGGGTCTTGGTGGCAAAATATTACCTTTTAAAGGGCTGGCTTGGGGTTGTTTGGTTGTTTTGTTTTGGTTTTTTTGTTTTTTTTCCAATGCCAGATTGGCATTGATCATCTGCGCTCCATACGAGCAGATCATTCACAGTTACTTTTATTCTCAACCTCCAGTATTTTAGCTGGGGCTGCGGTGGCTCCCTTAGCAGGAAAAACGAGAAAAATTCCGCTCCAGAAACCAGGGGCTGGATGAAATTAGAGGTGGGCAGGCTTTGCTGAGCATCACGGCCAGGACCTCCCGGCCTTCCCACCCCATGGCTCGGGAAGAATCTGGTTTTGTGGGGCTGGACCTGCCGCGCCCATCCCACGCCCAGCACCCACGCTGTTTTCACACTTGGCACCCGGCGCCTCTTCCCTCCGGCTCTGCGGCCAGCTCGAGGAGCTGTACACATCTATTAGTTATTTTCTTCATCCGTCGCCCGGGGACTGCCCCAGGTCAGCGGCCGCGGTGGCCACCTTCCCGGCCAAACCCGGGAGCAAACTCGGAGGGGACGCGGTGGCTTTGCTGAGCCACGTTTTTTTGGGGCTGAAGGTTTCACCTGCCGACAAGCAGCCCCCGCCCTCCCGGCGCTGACGGGCTCTCAGCATCCCCGACCTTGCCGGGATAAAATTAGCCATTTCACTTTGAATTAAAGACAGTTCAGCTGAAAGAAACCCGAGTGGTTCATTTCAAAGACGTCAAATGGCAGCGTTTCCTTTTTTGTCTGCGATCGGGGAGGGGAGGGTCCTTCCAGCCAGCTCCTGGTGACAATGACATTGATTTCCTAGACCTTTTGGTGTGGCCAAATCTGTATTTTTAGCTGGGGGAAAAGGAGAAAAAAAAAAAAAAAAAAAATCACGTGTCAGAGACGCTTTCCCTGCCGTGATGGGAAGGGAAAGGAGATGAAAGCCTCGGCTGCTGAAGCTGGTGGATGAGGAGGGCTGGCTGCCTGCGGCCCCCACCTCTGGGCTGGGGACCCTGGGCCCCCCACAGCGGGGGTCCCGTGGCAGGGTGCAGGGAGCCCCCCCAGCTCCCAAGGGACCCCATCCCATCCCTTCCCCTGCAGCCATTTATCTTCCGGGGTGGGCGCTGCCTTCATCTTTTCCTTCCCTGCCTCCTCTTCCTCCCTCTCCCCCACTCTGTTCTCATTTCCCCAAGAAGGCTTTAATGAAATCTGCCCTTAATTAAATCCACATTCATTTGCATAATTACCAGGAAATTGAAATTAGCTGGCGGACGTGGCTGGAATACATTTGGCGTCAGGCAGCCCTGACTGTTTGGAGGGGGCCGCACCGAGGGCGGCTGCGTCCCCTCCCACCCATGGGTGCTGCCCCCTGCTCCCCTCCCCTCCCGCCCCGGGGTGGCCACGGCGGCCGGGTGTGGGGGGACAGGGTGAAAGTGGGGGGGTCAGCGAGCGCCGGGGCCACGGCAGGGCAAAGGCAGGCAGTGCCCCCAGCCCGCCGCTGCACAAGCAGCATCACAGTTGTTTTATTTTTATAAAAAAAAAAGTCTCCACCACCATTGAGCATTTTTTTTGTTGCTTTTATGACTATGTATTTTGTCGGTTTTTTTGTGTGGTTTTTTTTTTTTTTTTTTCGGTTTCAGTTGTTTTTTTGTTTTTTATCCTTTTCAACAGTGACAAACTGAGGTAACGTCTGTGACACTACAGCCTCTCCTACGGGAAGAAGGTCCGAAACCCGACAGCCGAGGGAATTGGAAATAAAAACCCGACAACCTACCGACACAGCGACCTCGACGGGAACAAAAAAATCACACCCGGGCACCCCCCCGCGGGTCAGACCGCCCGGGGAAGTACAACCGAGCCCTCCCGGGGGCGGCCGGGATCCCTTATCTACATTATTGCACGAAAGATCGGGGGACATCGAGGGACCTAAGGCAAAAAGGAGAAAAAACCGCGCCTAGCGTCTCTACATCGGGGCAATGCTACTTCTAAAACCGGCCCTCGGCCCCGGCCCCACGGGCGGGGGTGGGTGCTGCGGGGACGGGGTGGGGGGACGGGGGGCAGCGGCGGAGGCGGGGGGGGGCCGGCTGGGCACCCGCCTGCTGTGTAAACTGCTGCTGCTGCTGCTGCTGAATAGCGTTATAGCCCTTTGTGCGGGAATTGGGGGGGGGGAGCTGGGGGGGGGGGGCGGAGGGGTGGGGATGGGGCGGGGGTGGGGGCGGTCCCCACGGCGCCCACCCGATGGGAGGGAAGCCCGAACTGTGCCAGGGCTTGGGTGCTGCCACTTCGGGGTGCCCCCCCACACACACACCCACCCACCCCCCAGCCTCCCCACCTCGGCAGCGGGGTGAGCCCCCGCCCCCCCCAGGTGCCCAAAACCAGGAGGGGAGTTGTGACACACCCTCCCCACGCACCCCATCGCCTTGTCACTAAGGGGCCACCAGCGGCTCCTGCCACCACACCACACACACACACACCCCCCACCGCCTCGCTGCTGCCAGCCCCGGGGGGATTTACCCCCCCAGGGAGGGTAACTGGGGTTTGGGGAAGGGGTGACAGCAAGGAGGGGTGATGGGGAATCATGCGGGCCCTTGGAAGGCCGCTCGAAGCCCCCTCCCCTGCGCCCCAGGTTGTGCAGACCAGCCTGGAGATGCACCGCCACCCCCTTCTCCAGTCCCTGGGTACAAAAAAATCGGCAGAGGGGACAAGGGGACGCCACCCGGCCCCCAGCATCCATCCCCCCTGCCCAAAAAAAACGGCACCGCGAAGCCCGGAGCGCAGCTCCCAGCCGGGAGGGGACCGGTGCCCCCGGGGGGTGGGGGGGACAGGGGCTGCCAGGGACGGTGGCTGGGACTCACGACGACACACAGACAGGGACACTTGCTACATCGATGGCTGCCAGCACCTCCCGCGGCAGGGAGGCAGCCGGGGCTGCCGGGGGTCCCGGGCTGCCGCTGACCCCCCCCCCGCCCCGGCTCCCCAGCCCCGGCCCGGCGCCCGCCTCCCCATCCCCTCCTGCACCCCACCAGCGGGGCACAGACCGGTGGAAGGGGGGCAAATCGCCACCCCCCCACCCCCCCCCAAAGGCCTCCTCCACGGTGCGGGGTCATCAGCCTTCCCTCGCCCCAGCCGGGGGCTGAGCATGGGGTGGGGGAGAGCCGGGGGGTGCTGCTGCCCCAGACACCCCCCCCCCCCCCCCCCAACACCGCACCCCCCGGCTCTTCCTCCCCGTATTGGGAGACGCCTCCCCATGCCACCCTGGGGGGAGCCTTGGAGGGGGCAGCGTGGTGGTGGCAGGAGCCGGGGACACCGATGTCCCTGGCAGCGAGCGGTGCCCTGGGCCGGGCTCCCGCCGCCGGCCTCACCCCGGCGGGGGGGGGGATCAGCATCCTCGGCGCTACGGAGCGCGGCCAGTCTTGTCCTTTTCCAATTAGTTTTTGTTTCTTTTTTTTGTTTTTTTTTTTTTTGTTTTTTTTTTTGCTTTGGGAGACCCGGAGCCTGGTCCCGGCTGGTGCCACCGCCACGAGCAACACCCCCCCCATCCCCATCCCCGGGGCGGGGGGGGGGACGGGACCGGCCAGGACGGGCGGCCGCCGCGTGCCGCCGCGGCTCCGTCAGACGCAGATCTCTATTGCTGTGGCCAGGACCATCTGCCCTTTGCCTTTGTCCTGCCGTCCGTCTGTCCTGCTCGCCGTCCCCGGGGGGGCCGCGCTCGGCTCGGAGCCGCGGGATCCGGTCCCTTCGGTCAGGACGGTCCTCTTGAGCGGGGCCGGGGTGCAGGAACCGGCCGCCTCGTGGCGGTGGGGACCGGCCGGGAGCTTGTCCCCGGCGTGCTTGCGGGAGCGGTAGGAGGGCCGGCGCCGCACCTCGGCCATCAGGTCGCACTTGAGGAAGTAGAAGACCTCCTTGACGGGACAGCGCTTCTCGGGGTCGAGGGCCAGCAGGCGCTGGAACATGCGCAGGGCGCTGTCCGTGAAGCGCCGCCACTGCGAGGGCAGCCCCCCCAGCCGCCCCTTCTGCCACCGCACAAACTCCTCGAAGAAAGCGTCGGAAGCCGCCGCCGCCTCCCAGGGGAAGTTCCCGGTGAGGACGCAGAAGATGAGCACCCCGAAAGCCCAGACGTCGATGCTGGTGTCCACGGCGAAGCCCTCCGCCCGCCCGGCCTGGCAAACCTCGGGCGCCGTGTAGGGGATGGTGCCGCTGATGCGCTTGACCCGGCAGCCCACCTTGCGGGTCATGCCGAAGTCGGCCAGTTTGATGCGGCGGCAGTCGCGGTCGAAGAGCAGGACGTTCTCCGGTTTGATGTCCCGGTGCACCAGGCTCTTGCTGTGCATGTAGTCGAGGGCCAGGCCCAGCTGCTGCACGCAGCGCTTCACCAGCTCCTCGGGGAGCCCCACCTGCGGGCGCGGGGACACGGGCGTCAGCCACCCGCCACCCAACCCCGGGGCGGTCCCACCCGGCTCGGGGTCATTACGCACCCGGCGCGGTCGCGGCTGCTTTTATCTGGGGTGCTCCCTGAAGCAGGGAGATCGGTGGTGGGTCCCGGGACACCCCAGGGATGGGTGGTGGGTCTCAGGGCCACCAGAGGAACGGTGATGGGTCCAAGGCCACCCCAGGGATGGGTGGTGGGTCTCAGGGCCACCAGAGGAAGGGTGATGGGTCCAAGGACACCCCAGGGATGGGTGGTGGGTCTCAAGGTCTCCAGAGGAAGGGTGATGGGTCCAAGGGCACCCCAGGGATGGGTGGTGGGTCTCAGGGCCACCAGAGGAACGGTGATGGGTCCAAGGCCACCCCAGGGATGGGTGGTGGGTCTCAGGGCCACCAGAGGAAGGGTGATGGGTCCAAGGCCACCCCAGGGATGGGTGGTGGGTCTCAGGGCCACCAGAGGAAGGGTGATGGGTCCAAGGCCACCCCAGGGATGGGTGGTGGGTCCCAGACCGTTATAGGGTCAGGTGATGGGTCCCAGGCCACCCCAGGAGATGAGTGATGGGTCTCAGGCTCCCCAGGGAAAGGGTGCTGGGTCTCAGGCCACCCCAGGGATGGATGACGGGTCGCAGACCATTCTAGGGAGAGGTGATGGGTCCAAGGCCACCCCAGGGATGGGTGATGGGTCCCAAACTTGTTTGTAGGTGCTTGCGGTCAGGGCCAACCCATACGAGGATGCCATGTGCCCACCCATGGGGTCCTCTCCCAACGCGGTCACCAAAGCCCGGCAGCAGCTCTGCTCAGTGCCCTGGGGATACTGAACCCTCCCACCCCAAAAAGGCTCCTGCGGGAGGGGCAGGGGCTCCCACCTGCGGCGGGATGATGTCGAAGAGGTCCCCGCCCGGGGCATACTCCTGAGCGAAGACGTAGCAGTCCTCAGTCTCGAAGACCACGTCGAAGACCTTGATGATGAAGGGGCTGGAGGAGAGCGTGTTGGTGATGCTGAACTCCCGCAGGAAGTTCTTCAGCTTCGTCTTGCTCTTGTTGACGAACTTCAGGGCCATCTTGGTGCCTGGGGTGGACAGGGGATGGAGGTGAGCCCGGGGCACGGTTGGGACACGCCAGGCACCCTGCTCCCCGCGCAGCCACGTCCCTGCCGCGTTCCCCCCCCCCCCCCCCCCCCCCGGCTCCCCTCACCTGTGCTTTTGTGGGACACCAGGTCCACCTTGCCGTAGGTGCCCTTGCCGAGCTCGCGGATGAGGTCGTAGTGCTTGTTGATGTCGGTGCCCGAGAGGGTGCGGATGGCCAGGGACTGCATGTCCTCGGTGATGAGGGGCACCCCGCAGCAGGCCAGCTTGCGCGACGGCTCTTGCTCAATCGAACCCGCGCTCATGGCTGCGCTGCAAGGCAGAGGCGCGTCACCACTTTTGGGGGGTGCTGCAAAGCCACCGCACCCCGTCCCCGTCCCGTCCCTTCCCCGGGGCCAGGAGCCACCGGCGCTTTGCAAAAGGGCACCCGGGCTGCTCGAGGCGGTGCTGGGCAGCACCCACGGGCGTGCCACCCCTCCGTCCCCAGGGGCCACCAACCCAATGGCTCTGGAGAGGATGCTCCAGCCTCCGCAGGGGGTGCAGTGGGCCCCGTGCCTCCAACGCGGGGGGGATGTCTGGGGGGCAAAGCGAGGGCTCAGGGCACGGCCTAGCCAGGAGGGCAGGGACACGGGGACACACACACACACACACACGTTTCCTCAGCCCTGGTGCATTCACAGCCACCGCGCAAAATGGGATCCGAGGCCCTTTGGGGCTCCCCACTGCTGCCGCGGTCCCCAGAGGGGCCCTGTCCCCTCTGCCCTCTCACTTTTGCAGAGCTCCCTCCAGAGCTGAGCCCGCCTGCGAGCCAGCGATGCTCCGGAGTGGGGCCAGGGCCACGCCGCGCAGCACCGAGCGGGACACGATGGCTCTGCAGCAAATCACGCCGCCATAAACCTCTGCCCGTCCGTCGGCACCGGCTCCCGGCTGTGGCACGGAGCCCGGCGCGCGGACCGCAGCACCGACCTTCCTCGCACCCGGCGACGGTTTTTCCTCGCCCTGGCCATCCCCACAACCAGCGCCGAGCTCGGACTCACCGGCCACACTGCGAAACCACCCCGGGGGCTCCTCCGGTGCCTTCAGGGCGCTGCATCGCCCTCCCCTCATCCCCCAAAAGCACAAACCCAGCGCCCTGCCCAGCCGCCCCACGCTGCAAGCACAGCACGACCGCCCGGCCCGGAGCGAGCCTGAGCCCCCCAGGGCCAGTGGGCACCTCAGCAGATAAATCCGGCTGCTTTTGATTTTGTAGCAGATGATTGACAAAAATCATGGGACAGCAGCCGAGCGGGCGCTGGTTTATATTTAGATTTTTAACGCGGCGCCTCACCGGGGAGGGGAAGGGGCGGGGGGGGGGGGAACCTCCTGCTCAAAATGAATCCCGCTTGCCTCGGGGACCAACAGCACCCGGGGGTCCGCTCGGCCCCGGGATGGAGCCGGGGACGCAGCGCAGGCGCTCGGCGGTTGCAGCCGTGGGAGTTTCAGGGGTGGGGAGCCCACGGCTGCGGAAGCCAGAGGGTGCGCACAAGCCGCCCCGCCACGGGACGGAGCCCGGGAGATGCCCGTGGGCTGAGCCCCGCGCCACGGCCACGCAGGGGCTGTGACAGCCACCCCAAAGGGTGCCGGACACCCCACGGGCACCCACGAAGCACCCGCAGCACCCCGGGGACAGGGTCCCGCCTGACGCACCGGGATCCTCCCAGCCCTTTCCCCACGAGGCTGAGCCTGATCGCCAACCTCTCCTTCCTTTACTTCCACGGCGCTGCCTCTCATCCCAAAGCAGAGCTCAGCTTCTTCATTTTTGTTTTTTTTTTTTTTTCCCCTGGGAAGTTGGGCAAAAAATAGAAAAGGAACTTCAACATCATGATGTTCCAAAAATGTAACGGCTTGACTCATAAGATCTCCAAAGCAGCTCATCTCCATAGTGTTTTATTGGCCTCCTGGAAGAGGAGCACCATTTCAGCGTCTGGGTGCTGGAGGTGGAGGTGGATCAGCGCAGCAGCTCGATGGATGCATGACTAAAAACAGCTCCCAGCATCCTGCGAGAAGAATTCTGTCTACACTTGAATTTACAATCACGCTTGTCAATGTCTCTTAATTAACCGGCGTTGAAACGCAATTATGCAAGTCAGCAAAGTTGGGGTTTAAGGATAAAAACCTGCTGGTGGGATGGGAAGAGAGGAGGTGAAGGACTGACGGCTGCTGAAAAGAGCATTTCAAGCCAAGGGCTACTTGCTTTTTCCCTTGGCTAAACCTGTTGGGTTTTCCAGGCAGCTCCTTTCTGACCATTTCTCATGCCCCTTTCTCATTTCCAGCCGGTTCTGTGCGCTCGCGGGGACGGGGCGCCCGTGCCAAAGGCAGCAAGAGATGCTGCCAGCCCGGCGTGGCCGGGGTCGAGGTCCCACGTCCTCAGCCTCCGCCAGTCCCGCCAACGCAACCCAGATCAGGTCGAACCAGAGCAGAAACGGGGCCTTTTCCCAGCACGCCAGCTCCTCTCCCGCCTCCACGGCACGGCCCCGAAGCACCGGGTGGGGGGAGAGGAGCCAGCGCCCGAAGGAAGCCAAAACCCAGCTGGGTTGTTCCGGGTGTTCCTGAAGAAGGAGCTTTTCAAAGCAGGGAGGAACGATGCGCATCCTGGCTGAGTCCTGGCGAAGGCCCCCCCGCAGCACGAGACCCCGGGCAGCGGCGAAGGGGCGGTGAAGACGCTGCCAAGCGGCACCGGGACCCCGCCGCTCACCGCAGGTGGTTTGTGCCGTCATCTCCGCATCCTGAACCGTTTCTCCTACTATTCAGACTAAAATTGTTCTCTGTTTAAGCTTCAGAACCATTTATCTCATTGAGTGAGGAGGATAATCCACCCACCTCTTCCTCGCTCCCTGGCAGGTATTTATAGGCAGCTACTCGTCTCCCGTCGGCAAGCGCCGCTCCTCTCCCCAGATCTCCCCGGCTCCAGCCCCAGCCCCGTGGAGCAGCTCCCGGGAGGATGCCATATCCCACTCCCGGAGCCCGGCATCCCACGGGGCACCAACCCGCTCCCACCCCACCACCACTCCCTGCGAGGGGATGCTTCCCCCCTGCTCTGCATCCCGCTCCGCTGCACGCCCAGCCCTGGGTGCCTCGGCTTTGCCAGTAAGTAATTGCAAACTCATTAAGAGCTCGTTGAGAGGAGCAGAGGCCGCCTGGGAGAGCTGCCCCAGGCGCCCGGCAGAGGAGGTTGCTGGAGCAGCAGCTGCTTGGAAATTAAGAGGGGAAGAGGGAAAAAATACCCTCCGGCCACGTCAGAGACTGACAAGTCAGGAAAACAACCCGGTTATCGAGTGGGGTCCAAGGAAAAGGGTTTTGGGCCGAGCCTGACACAGGGGTCTCTACGGCGAGGGGCCAGGATTCACACTGTGGGCTGCTGTGGGGCAAGAAATGGGGAGGACAAAGGGAAAAACCACGTGGGGCAGAGTTAGGGTCTCCATGAGACCCAGATTCCTCTTTAGAGAGGGGGAAAATGAGAAATACGGGCGGGGTGGGTGCTGCTCTGCCCCTGCGGGTGCCCCAGCCACGCCACGTGTATTTTGCAGCGCTTTGATTTCGCCCCCCCACCCCCCCCGCTCCCATCCCCAAACCCTCCCACTGCCGTGACGCTCACTACAGCAGCAGCGTGCTCATTAATTATGGTGTAATTGGCATTAAGCGGGTAACACTGACTGCCCCCCTCCCCCGTCGCTCTCCCCGAGCCTGGCAGGCTGGAGGCCAGGGCACCCGTTTGGGAGGGAGTGAGCTCCCTCCGCACCCTGGCCGGCTCCCAAACCTTCCCTATTTTCTCTGAGCCACCCGCTGAGCCGGCAGAGTCATTCCCCAGCGAGCGCTTGGCCCTGCCGGGGCCGTGCCCGCTGCCTGTCCCCCACCTCCCGTGCCGCCCCGGCTGGGTCCGGGGGGGGGGGGGGCCAGCGATGCCACGGCCGTGCCCCGCGCCGAGCCGCTCGCCGCCTCCCCGGCTCCCCGCTCCGTTTCCAGCCTCCGCCGCCTCCGCTCCCGCCTGACCCCGTTCTGGGGACATCCTCTCATCTCCTGCGTGCCGCCGGGAGCAGCGCGCCAGCGCGAGGCGTTATTAGCTGCGCTTCCCGGGAGCAGCGGCACGCCGGCGCCCGGGGAGGGCTGGCAAAGGCACCTTCGCCTAACGAGGCCGACGACTCCACGGACACGGAAGCAGCAGGGGGGGGGGGGGGAAGGAAAAAGCATCTCGTGGGGGGGCTCAGAGCCACGGGTACCCAGCCTGACATCCTCCGGCCAGGTACACCCCATCAAAAGCAGCAAACCGTGCGTGGGAAGAGGGTCCCTTCGCCCACGTGCTGCCCCGGGGGTTGCCCAAAGCCGCTCAAGACGAGCCGAGCGCGGCTGGGAGGCGGCGGGTCCCACACGGCACAGGGAAACCGGCCGGCAGCATTTTGGGAAGAGCCTCTCCGCCAGCATCCCGGGAGCCGGGAGGAGCAGCCCCCCCCCCCCCCCCCAGAGGCGACGGATGGGGCACGTCTCCGCGTTCCCTCACCAGCTCCGTGGCCGTGGGAAGGTGCTGGGAAACGCTCAAGTGCAGCTTGCACCACTAGTCTTGAACCAGCACCAAACCTCCACCGAAGCGCCCGCAGCAACGGTGACTTCCCAGCGCTCCCAGTTGGGGACATTTCTCCACGCGACGGCACCGAATTCCCAGTTATCTGGAGTTTCTCACACCAGCTCCTTGCCAGGATCGGAGCAGACCAGGATCGGCTTCGGCAAAGCCGACAAACACCCAGAAGCGCGCGGGCTCCCGGTCGGCGGGAGCTGCAGGGCAGGGTCAGACCCCATCACACCCACCCGTGGCATCCCCCCCGTAGCGGGAACCGTCTCCCATCCCAGCCACGAGGCTCTGATGAGCTTCTTCAGCCTCTGGCTGCAGGATTCAGGTTCCGCAGAGCAAATCTGGGAAGAGCAAACAAAGCGGCGCCCGGGCTCTCTCCTCCGACAGCTCTCGCCCTCCTCCCGAGGGATGGGTGGCAGCCGCTCCCCGGGGAGCCGCCGCTCTCCCCTCCCGCCGCCAGCCGCCGTGCCCTCCGCACCGCTCTCCCGGAGCTGCCAGCAGGATTTTCCCTGCCCTCATCTGCACCGTGCCGTCTCCGTCCGTCAGGCCCCGACAGCAGGACCTCGGCCGCCTTTCAGCGCTTCGGCCTCCCGGGATTTTTCCTGACGAGCGGGATGGCTTCGTTAGGACCTCAGCTACTCCAGCCTCCAGCTCCTCCCGCCTTCGCCGCGCCTCGCCGCCAGCACCAGGGATTTATGATTACTTCATT